ACTGGCGTCATTTCGCCTCTCCGATTCCAGCGAGGAATAAGTTTGTATTTATTTTTTATATTTTGTTTGTGCTTTGAAGTTTCTTTGGCGGTTAGATTTGTTTTCCGGGGTAGGGTTGCTAACCCTACGCCCAACCTTCCCTCTGTACCCGGGCTTAGGACTAGTGAACGAGTTAACCAGGCGAGGTTTTTCTTAAGTACACTGTTATTCAAATTGAATTCCAGATCTCTCAAGAAGATACTTTAAATTTTAAATACCTAACCAGTGTTCTGAAATAAACAGAGGCTTCAGATGGGTATTTTAGGCTTACAAAATCCCAACCAATCATTAAAAGCCTTCTCGACTTACGTTTTCGACGGTTACTTCCTGTTCACTACAAGGTCACTCGTGAATTTATTCTAACATAATGTGTCGCTATCTTATTAAGAAGACGCCTTTGAAGTGAAGACAGGAGTAAGACAAGGCTGTCTACTATCACCAATCATCTTCCTAATTCTGGTCGACTGGATTGGACTGGATCATGCAACAAACCATGAGGAGCGAGAAAATGAGCATACGCTGGCTGGACCAATGAAGACAGCCTAAAAGATTTGGATTTCACCAACGATGATCACTTATGTTTTATGTCTTGTCGCACTAACTCGAAGATCTACAGGCAAAAATCAACAAGTTGACAAAAGAGGCAGGGAAGAAAAGACGGCACTTCAAGTGAATGTAGAGAAGACAGAGATGATGAAGATACCCAACTAACAACATCAACAACAACCACCAATAACCATCAACAGGAGAAACCTAAAGGAAGTAATCCATTTCAACTACCTACCTAGGCAGCATCGTCTCAACTACAGGCAGTGGCACAGACAACGATGTCAAAACCAGGATCGGAAAGACAGAAGGACAGGTCTCCATTAATCTGAAATCAGTGAGGAGATCTGCTGCACTCAGCGCAAAGAACAAAATCTAGATTTTCAATACCCATGTCAAGTCAGTGCTGACATGTGGTTAATAAACTTGGCGCGTCATGAAAAGCACTTCCAACAAACTACAGACATTCATCAATAGCTGCCGCCTACGCTCACTCAATATTAAAGATCAGATGGATTGACAGAAAGAATAAGTAACAAGGAACTCTGGCTGGAAACTAACCAACAAAGCAAGAAACTATCACCCAACAAATATGCAGAAGAAAGTGGAGATGGATTAAGCACACACTGGGAAAACCATTCGGAGACATCACGCTCCAGGCCGTCGAGTGGAATTCAAAGGGGAAACGATGAGTTGGGCGTCCGAGGTGAGGATGACATGGAGGAGATCGTGTGAGGAATAAATGAAAGTTTGTAGGCAGTCGTGGAGGGAGGTTGGAAAGACTGCAGAGAAGAGAGCGGAATGGAGGTGTGCTACTGAAGCTTTATGTTCCACTAGGAATCCAAGACGTAGGAGACACTTTGCACTCTCATTCTGACTTATTACCCATTTTGCGTAATAATTCATCTTAAGACACAGGAGATTTAAATTTAGTTTACTACTGTAGTGATTTACTGGTTGACAAGTACAAAGGAATTTACAGAAACATGTTCTCAAAGGCAGATAGAAGAAACAACAGTAGAGGTTGACATGAACGGCAAAATAGAAATCTGCTGAATGGAAACATAAGAAGAGTTTGAGCACATATCAAGGCCAAGGGGAGAAATCTCATGATATGCAGAAACGTAGTGTTACAACCAACCGTAAGAAAAATTTTGATTGACTACTGTTCTTTTGGTGCTTACTTCGAAACTATAATTTCCCTTTATCTAGGCCATGTTATATCAGTTGTATCCCCAGTACTCAGTAATTTCTTTTCCGCATTGTTATTTAACCTGATCACAGTCGTTTAACCACAACTTCGATCATATGATATTCATTCACTCGTGTCATGGGGGTCAGTGAGAGAGTCAGTCGTATCAAGTTGTTAACTAACTCGTCAAATTCAGCTACCTAGTCTAGTAAGCAATTGTTTAAACATTATGGACGTAGTTTATAATCTTTCAATCTAAAAACAGTAAAGAAAATTGTAAAAAAATGGTTTGAGTAAAACCTTATGGAGATATTTCACAGCATGATGAGGATAATGATATGTTTTTGATTTTCTCTGAACTTCGACATTGCATTGTGACTATGATAATTTCCTTTTATCCTATAAATATCTATGGACTTGTTGTTTAAATTAGTTTTGTTGACAGCGTGCATTACTGCACAACTAAGAAGTTTTCAGTCTTAGTCCTTTGTGTATGGTTTACAAATTTTAGCTGTTTTTGACTTTTGAGAACCAAGCTTACATGTTATTTCCTATATACATCTTGTTTCCCCTGCCCTCCTCACCTTTTCCATACATACTATAAAAATTAACATGGACGGTCGTACTTAAATTGTCAACTTTCAGTAACAAAATGTTATAGCTCTGATTTCGAGTGAACACGTTACAAGATATAGCAAATGAACGAACTGACATTAAAAAATCATTTTATAATAGTTTGTAAATGAATGACAAAACCATATGGTCACTCTTTTCTTGTTTTTTGTCACACTTTTTTGCAGAGACATCAAGTGTTTCAATAATGAAGAATGTTTTTCAACTAATGAACCTGGGTTTAAAGAAGGGTCAACTGCTGAATGTTGAATTCAGAGATAGTGCAAGCTTAGATTTTCTCCAGAAAAGAACAATAGTATCTCAATTCATATTTTTCAACCTTTTATCGTTGGAATTTTGTTTTTTGCAGGAAAAATCATCTGAATGCAGTTAGTACAAGCTAACCAATGATTATGTAAACAGTTCAGTTGCGCGTTTAAAGCGGAGTACATTGGTCGCACCATGATACCTACTCGTACAACACCTTCCCAGTAGTTGGAGAAGGGTTGTACATCTTCACCCCTGTAAAATAAGGGTACTCAGCTTCTGCCGAAAAGTTTTACATAATCAAAGAGGTATTTGTTTCAAAGGCACAGTAAAAAGAGCTGATAATAATGACCTTTTAGGGCCCCCACTGAAAATAGACAGAGACTATGGTTGGCAAAGTAATTACAAAATTATCAGTCATTCAATACTGACCAAACTAGTCACCATGTTATCTAAAATTCCTCAAATTCGGTATGGTGGAGATTATGTATAAATAACGCCGAAGGGGTTTGGAAAGTAAAACATAAGTTATTTAACAATATTTTCAACTGTTGTTAATCACATCTCAGTCTGCTTTTAGGACTATCTTGAAATCCAGTTTTTATTTCTTAAAACACCACCAGTTTGAATCAGTTTCTTAAAATGCTAAAACCTAATGGGTGAGGTCAAAACAAAACACGCAAGCTCATAGAAATATAGAGTTAAAGAAAATGAAATCAATTTCCAAATATTTAACTGTAAGCACGTAAATGTTCACTCCTTATACATTTATTGACAATTTACTGAATTCTTAAATTAAGAAAAACCTTATGACCTGAAATGCATTTCTACACAATAAACGAATTCGATAACTATTCATATTTTTGTTGAAATGATAAGAAGGAAAGAGCTAAGTCAGGTAAACTGTAAATGAAGACTGAGTTGTATGAACAACGAATAACCATCTTAATTTCATATAAAGAATAGTTGAAACAAGCAGAAGGAATGAATAAATGCCAATAAATGTGAAGCCTAACAAAATTCAAAGTAGTATCCACTATGGACTGATGTCCACTGGAGAATTCTGATGAAGTTGTAGGTGTGCATTGCTGGAGAGTCTAATACTGGAACGAAACACCTGTCCAGTGTTCCCAGGTCTTCAATGGTTATTCAACCGATATCAGTCTATAATAAATAGCACCTTGAAAAATGAAGTTAGAAGAGATCGATACTGGGTTCGAGTCCCGACTGGAACACCATCACTCACTGGGGTGCATGTATATCCGGCTGAAGAGTACCAAATGGGACAAAACGAACATCCTGGATTCCACCGCTTGCCACCGACTGAATTGTAACATGAGATGAAAATACTACGAATTTCTAAGTAAAAATATTGAGTCACTATAAGTGCAGTTTAGAACTCAGAATGCAAAACGTATTACTTCAGCAATGAAGGACAAATTCAAAAATATGCATTCATAATGTCAAGTAATTTTCGTTCGATTAATGAACTTCAATACAGACAACTATCTCCCAACATCCTTATTGTAGCCTGATATGATATAACATTGATATTTGAGGATTATATTCTATATATTATTTTATATTGGCTTCTTGAAGTGACTATCATGTTGTGATGCCTGATACAACAGATTGTCATTCACATCTAATGACAAACTAGTCTACATTTTTAGTTACCATCATACCCATTATATATATGTTTTATGGGGCTAAACGGTAAAACTTCCTGAATATTTTCATTTGCAGCGAAAAGTAATAAATAAAACCTTACACAAATGGAACAGCAAACGGCGGTTATTAATATGCTGTAGTCTTCGTAGTCAATTGAAAACTATCGACTAATTTGTAGAGTGTGACCACTAAACCGTTGAAATGGATATTGATTGTCTGTGTGTGGTGTTAGAAAACTGAAGCTTATTGCAAATGAACTCTCCAGCTAGATGGTGTGTTTGATATACTAAAACTTCAAGAAGTTACATACCACTCTAAGAAACTGGTCACGCTCTAGATAGTTAACCTGCATGATAACGGATATCCAACGTAATTTAGATAATTTCTGCTGACTATTGATAACAAGCATTTTAAATGAAAGTAAGTATACGTCCTAAAGTCACGTTTTACTCTTAATTGAGTCCTACAACAGTATGTCAAAAATATCTCAGCAATAAGGTTACTGAAAAGAAACAGACCTTCAGTGAAGCAACTAAAGAAGTTGAATGATGATAATAAGTTCTGTCACTTATGAATTCTACCATTAAAGGAATGGAGTAACCATAAAAGAGGTGATACGATTTTTTAACCGTTCTTAAACATGTAAAAATAAAAATTGTTTCCTACAACCTACCGTGTATTCACTATATGATGATTCATCTACATCCCATTCATCCGTGTCTGTTGCGCTAAAAGATGATGTTAGTGAATCCCCTTGTGATAGTAACTTCGCCTCAGATTTCTCTTCTATTACGTCGCACAATACTGAATCTGATGTTGTGGCAGTTTCTGTCATTGTAACCGCCGATATCGCTTGACCTTCATCGGGAATTGGGCTCTTTTTCACTTTTAAGAAAAAAAGAAAAGAGAAAAAACATACGAGTCACTACTCAGGGTTAATAGTTTTATAGAAGTAATGGTAGCAAGGATTAGACGTAGCAACTTGTATACAGCTTTTGTGTACAGATACTTCTGAGTGGTAAAATGGTTGCAGAATATAAAGAGCATATTCACAGTGCTAAGTGTGATAGTAGTATGAACTACAAATGGGATTTTGCATGTGTTCATATGATTACAATCCCTTTCGCATGTGTGTTGATTTTTTTCAATGAGAGGAGGGATATGTTTTCTTTTTTCCACCATATTCAAACAATTTGGTATTCTTCTATAAGAAGCTTCCTACAATTTATCAAGGTTAATCTTGCTATCAATCAGGTTCCCGAAAACCAGTAAAGTGTATGACAATAACAATGTTTATAAATGATGCATCTCGATATAGATTCCCTGAGACCTGATGGGAAGCGGTGACGTACGGGGTCAACAAAGCCAAACGATATTCTGTTGTAGTTGTTATGGATCGGAAAACGTTAGCTTTCTTACTGTTTGCAAAAAACAGTGTAGACATTGCGTCAGGGCATTGAATGTGATGAAAACAGAATAATTTTCGAAAAATTTATCCATAAAGCTATTATACTGCTTCGTTTGCATGAATTTTGAAGTCTCCATAGAAAATTCAGTGACACAGAACTTGCCATCTTTAATGGGACTACATAAGTACTAGTTGCAAATTTTGTCTAAGAGATACGTAACACTTGCATTCCATCAAAAATACGATGAGGCTGTAAATCATTAATAACTCATACAAAACCCCATATAGATAAAACAGCTCTAGTGATGGCTACTACCTTGACTTGGTGGTTTGGTTCGTATATAACAATAATCCAATGGGCTAAGCTGGTATGAACATTTGTTGTTTGAGACTATACCATACCACAAAGGTCTGTTGGATAACGGTACGACAAATAGAGAAAGACAAAATCAAAGGAGAACTTCTCACAGAACTGCATTGGTTCAAGTTGTCACACTTCACGACAGTATACGAAGAACAAGTAAGTAGAAAAAGACTGAGATCAAACTAATCAAAATGTATGGGAGGATAAAGGTTAGGGAAAATATCCAAACCCTAGAAGACATTAAAATACGGATACCTCCACGCGCCTGTGACCGATTACCAGTCATTTTACCAAGAGTCGTGAACCGCTGATTCCAATAGTCTTGGGGACAACAGTCAGGTAGTCTATGCCTACCTACACAACTTGGACCAACAGTCGCAGACGTCATACACTGGTGCCACGTCTTAGTCTGGCCACCATGAGGTTTCTTCCAACCTAATCCAACTTCTCCTAGCACTGTACGTCCAGGTAGGCGGTGGCTAGGCACGTGCAGTAAATTAAAAGGCCACCACGGTCTCTGAAGGTTTGCAACCTCATCGACTGACGAGCTGAAGTTGACTAGAACCCTTTACCCATTTACAAAGTTGCTTGCACGGTGATTCCACTGTAAGTGTGTAATGATACGAAAGCACTTGCAGGCAAAAACCAATGCTCCGTTCATATCTTCCTGTTTCAACGGCCATGTCTCACAGCCGCATTAGTACGACAGAACCGACGGCAGCATAATATACTCGTCCATTTATAGGTAGTCGGACATCTCACTGGTGCGAGACATGACGCAACTTGGGAAATGTCAAATGACCCTTCTGTATTCGGGTTGAGATTGCTCTAGCCATCAATCCATTTGGGCTGGTGCAACTTCTCCAGTAAAATAAATAGTCAAAGCACTTCATCACTTCACTTCCTATCCTCAAAATAGAATTATTTGCAGTTCGGTCTATAAGTATCTATCATCTAACATTTGACAAGTACAAAATGCTAAAAAAGGAAACTCACATTTCACCTCAAAATGCTCAGAAAACTTTGTGCTTTGTCAGTGTTTTCGCCTAGTGAAAAAATTTCACTGATATACTCCAAGTTAACCAGACACTCTCCAGAAAGTAAATCAATCTAGGTGAAGTCAAACGTGCATAGAGTTATGCCTATTAATTATATCCGTAACACAGTTAAGCATGAAGGGCGATAGCGAGTATCCCAGACGGACACCACTAGTTGTCATTAATTCTGATGAGATGTTCTTTCGAGTTTGTTGTTGTCCAGTTGAAGCTTGACGCCGGATAACTATGGACCCAAAGATATTAGTCAGACTGATCCTTTTGTGTCTTTCAAAGAAAGACCTCTCCCTTCTAGTAAAATAGAATGATCAATGAAGTAGAGCAGTCTGACGAGACCAACTCTAATTCCCACATACTACCTAATACCTCCATTATTACACGCATTTATTTATTATCTTCTTTGACAAAAACTTCTGGTTGCAATCCATCAGATCTAGCTGCTTTGCATACTTTCAGACTACAAACTGCGTTATCAGCTTCGACGATAGTTATAGGAATGTCATCTACGTCTAGTTCGGGTTCGGACTGGATGCCGGGTAGCTGGAGCGGAGCTGCGCGGCCAGTTGAAATATGCTTTAAAGTATTCTGCCCAACAGTATAGCCGTCTGTCCTCCGAGGTTATCAGTAACCCATCCTTCTCGGTGACGGCCTCACTAACCGTACTCTTTTTCGTGCCAGTATTCGTAACAAGCCTAAATAATTGCCGTGCACTACATAATGTTGGTGCCTTCTCCATCGCTTTTGTTCTTGTCACCAACCACTCCTTGCGATTATTTCGAATACTCCTGGCCAATTTACTTTTGAGTTGTTTTCGCTCATCGTTGTGGTCAGAATCAACTAGAATCAATCATCTCACATCAATTAGTTTGGATGGGGCTATGGAAACTCACTATTTTTGCTAAGTTTTGGGTGTGGGTTACCGACTGCCTTTACCGCTGTTTTAAATAGCAGACATAATATCACGCCAGGTTTCCTCAGGATAAGAATTGGTGTCAAGCTCAAATAAACGCTTAGATATCTCCCCCATGAATATGTATTTGATGTTCCCGTCTTCCAATGGACAACAAAGAAGATTCACTGCTACACATTTCTTGGGATCAGCAAGATGCAAACGCATGTCATCATCATCAACAACATAGGACCAGGCATTACTGAGTAACTGTCAAAGTTGCTACGACCCATATCAGCATAATACTCAAAGAAACAATGGGATGAAAGATAAATAAAGAAAAAGCAGTAGGAAGCAGTAAAAGAGAACAAGGAAGAATGAAAGAATGCTGAATTCAGTTTAGCGATTAAGATTGGGATAATATGTGAACACATCATTGCCACTGACATCGACTCCGAGTCATATCACCTGGAATCTCCAACCACTGACTTCCGTTGTCAAGCGATCCCAAACCAGCAATCCTGCATCTCCCTAAATGGCTCAGACCAACTGCCAAAGACTACACGCAATGATGCCGTCTTTTAGTCTGACCGACCCAAGTCTTATTACAACCTGAACCTACGCTTGTTAACATTGCTCGACGAAGCAGAGAGTGGCTAGGGATACGTAACATATGTCCCAGCTCTCTAAGTCGTTGAAGGTTCACAACCGCACCAACTGACTTTCCTCTCCATCTTTTAACTCGACACCTGACTATTGACTGGTATCTAACAAAGAAGTGCACTGTTTACTCGACAATCTGGTTCTACGCATACCCCGAGTCGTGTCGCTTGATGCAGACTGGCTTGCAGCAGTCACTGAGATGGTTGGAGAAATTTTGTTGCGATAGCTGGGAATGGCAGATGTATTTATCATTTGAAATCTTCGAGTGTCTGAACATTTTCTTTGTCCCTCATTTTTAATAATTCTCTCTACTGCCATGAACTTTTTTCTACTTTAAATGTCACAACTTTCCTATTCAGGTATTCTTTCCATGCTAATTTAAAGTGTGGCAACTTGAACGGGTGTAATTCTGAGATAGGTCCTACACTGATTTGTCTGCTTGTCGGTCAATAAAAGAGATTCTAGAGCTCTCAAAAGTGAGACATGTGAAAAATATCGCTTAGGCAAACTCACGTAAACACTTTTATAAATACTTTTCATCACTTTTATAACCAAGAGTCATTACGCAATAAAAAGCACTGGGTTGAAAAATATTCAATCACACGTTGGGGGGATGATATATCAAAGAAATATTGGTGATGAAGTAAATATTTATCAGCTTAGGGATACCTTTTTGGTTTAGTTAAAAAAAACAAGTTCAAACATTTCGCTCTGATTATATGGACGAAACATCTGCTTCCAGCAATGAAAGTGAATGATTGCTGTGATGCAAAACTATGGCTCAGTGGTTTAGGAGGATGACTAACTACTATTGGATCACGGATTCTAGTCCCGCTCCACCTATTGGGATTTGGGTAACTGGGTAATATCACTAGCAGTGACACAATAGGTGTGGCTCACTGACTACTGCATGAACGTGCACAAGGTAGCTGTGTGCGTAAAAGAAAACTGAGTTTCTTTTTGCCAACCTACCGAGCACATAAAATATTGACAAAATCCCGCTAAATTTATTTCTGATCATTGCCTTTGTAAAACATATTTTGTGCTTCTTCGCTACTTTTAACCTGTTTCATATGAGAGAAAGCGCATATTGACAGCTGATGTCCTGAAAATTTAACTATTACATATTTTCCACAAAAGCAGAAATGGCGGACGGTGCTTGGCAAAAAAAACTAGTTTCAAGTCTATTCCCATAGCTTCTGCTGAAGGAAACCTAACCTGTAATCCAAGATTTATTGGTTCATATGAAATGAGGCTTATTCTTCTTTGAATTTAATCACTGTATTTTGGTGATTGATGCTGTCATGAGTCCTTTAGTAACTTGGTCATATACACCTAATATGTAACTAAAAAGACTGTACCATATAATGAAAAATTTTCACCATTAACATCAACTTTTTCCAGTTGTAATAATATTAGACTTACATTCTTCCTGATCACCAGGTATAACAGACTTATCTTTTGATTTTTCAGTCACCTTTTCTACCTTTTCAGGGATTGGAACTTTGATCACCTGACCAACAAATAATGTTCGGGATAAGAATTTATTGATACGGCATAGCTCTGATGGAGTTATATCAAATTGAGCTGCTACACTAATAAATGAATCTCCTTCCTGAACCTATCAATGAAAAAGAGTACAAAGAAGATGAATGTTTGTAAAAATTTCAAAAACTTAGAAAATAAGTCTTATACGGTAAAAGGCACTTTGTTCATCGAGTCAACACCCAACACGTGTAATAAGAATGATGCAACACATACCGAAGATGTGCAAAATTTTACTACCAATAAAAGCAAAGAATTTGTGGTGATAGGAGTATCAAAATCAGATGTCCGAAGTTATGTGATTACTTTGATATGATTCCGAGCAGTAATCTACACTAGAAACATCATCAAGTAAATAATAGTGCATCACTGTATGATATAACAAATAAATCTAATACGTTTTATTTTCATCTTTCGATTGAGATTAAATGTCTTCGGTTTGTACTCAGTATTGAAAAAGAATTACATACTTACCTATCGCTGTTGTGATAAACTCATCTACTCTGATATATTACGGTTTCTTCTGATGTTTTATTTAAAACCAACCGTTTTTTGATATCATTTTTATGCAACACAACTCATCATTTCTTCAGTGTTTCTACGTCATTCGCTCGATTGTTATTAGTTTCCTCACCGGGTTCAACTTTCTCCTACAGAATGAATACACATTTCGTTCTACTCTTAGCTGTAAAGATATTTCATTTCTATACCAACCTTTTGTGAAACTTCGAAGTTATTCACCTAAGCTTTCCCCTATAACCAAAGCCTGGTTAAGGTTTTACACTACATGGTTTTTTTTTGATTTTTCATCTGTTTGAAACTGAAGAGGAACTGTAGGGAAGCTGAATTCGTCTGTGATACTGCCAGATTGAACCCTATGTAGAGAAACAGTTCAGTTAGTAATCAGTTGCTTTGCCTTTATTTATTGTTAACAACAACTTAATCAATGAATTTTGTATAGATAAGTTTTTATTAGGTTCTTCAGATATATATACCAGTATATCTCATATAGAAAAATACGTTATTTACCTTCTTTAAAATACCTGTTATTCTTTAAATTGATTCGTATTTAGCCAAACGGGTTTCCTGTGATTTCTTACTTTATTTTCTCTGTTATGTCAATCAATATTGGCATGGAGCTCCCGAGTCCTGAGTAACGGTTCAGGTTGTCACGCTTCATATCAGCACACCGACAAAGAATACACCACGAAGAAAGATAAAGAATAAAGGAAGTATTTCGGTCGATAGAAAGTAGTAAAAAGAGAGGAAGAAGTAATAAGAAAATAATAAAATTCAGTATGACGGATAAGATGAAGGTAATATGCAGATACATCTGCGGCACTGATACTGATTCTGAGCTATGTCATATACAGTCTCCAACCACTGCTTTCTGTTTTTACACAGACCTCAACCAGAGGATCTGCTTTTCTATATACTACACAAACCAACAATCAGAAACTTTGTGCAAGGCTGCTATGCATACATTTGACCGCCTCTAACATTTTTGCAGCCTGAACCTACTTCATCTAACAATGCGGAGTGGAGAAAAATGTGACTGGGCATGCAAAACAAATGTCCTCACCACCTTAGCCAATGAAAGTTCACAACCTTATCAACTTTACTCTTTTTGACTAAAACTACGCCTGACTTCCAAGCTGCTGATGTTGTGGCACTGTGAAACAGGGTCTATGCTATGAAGGCAACGGCGGTTAAATATCTGAAACCTTTAATGCCCATGTTTCATACCTGTGTATTAGAAAGGGGTTGATCCAACCTCCGAAGTAAGGTGGTCAACACACCCAACCACTTCACTCCTCACTACTAGAAAAAGAACCAGCTAAAGCCAGTAGTCAAGCAGCAGTTTGCACTAATGTGTTACAAAACGCTTCCCAAACATTCTCAAATCGCAACTCAAGGTTCCCCGTAGACTGGATTTAATTCTCTCTATTGTATACAGCAATTTTCGTTCACAGTGTGGATATGAATCAGGGTAGCTTGGATAATGTCATCATTTTGCAAGGTCTTCCAATGATCCGGTTATCCGACTTGCTATTACAGCCAACATGTAAAATATTTTTAAAACCTCAATGGCTTACAACCTAACTGCAAGGGACAATGAAAACACGGTAATAAATACATGAATCACTCCTAGGCTTTCTACTTTCGCCCACTTAAGAAGTAAGTCAGAGGTAAAAAACTATATGGAGAAATAAGAGAAAGTCACCAACATTTGGTATGAATATTTAATTTACCATAAGCTACTACATTAACTGTCTCAGGAAGTGAATACTCTACGAAGCTCCGATTGAGAGGCATAGATAGCTCGCTGTGTCTTCGCAGTCGCAATTAAGAAATTTGGCTATATTTTATTGACATTCAGCAATAATTTTATCTATCTAGAAGACTCTACACTTATCCCCATAAAATAAATCGTATCCATTCCAAATTATATCAGATGACTAATTTTTTAGTACTTTCAAGGGAGAAAAGAGCTGAAAAAAAAGGTCACTGGTCGGTAAATACCAACTGAGAAAGGCCAGTTATAGTGCGTCTGCTTAAATCGGATGCATGCATGAACGGAAATCATTCAGAAGTGTTTTTAAAATGTTCACCCTTTACATTTGCATTTTAAGTTAACTCTTAACGCCCTTAACATATTGAACAGAATTAACGAATTCATTTTACTATCATGAAGAAAATGAAAATAGTTATTGGTGTCAACGAAAGGTTATAGGTAAAGATTATTAGATATCATTTTAAAAATACAATGCTGACACGTATTAGCATAAAAATGACTAGTTTCCTTACGAATTAATTTACTTGGTGGTAGCTAATACTGGAATTTATGATGCACATTGCGTCACATTCAGTAATACTTGGCTGGATGTAACTGCATCCCAGTCAGTGTTAGTGCTCCCCATTGAGATTACAACCCAGGACATATCGTTTCAAACGTCAGAGCTTTATCCGTCGGGCTAACGAGTCATAAGAACCATCTATGCAACCAGCATCAGTTTTTATTTACTGATACTTGTAGTTTCCCGTTGTTTATCAGTTGGACAGAAGTGATCGAACTCTGTTGGCAAATGGGCTCGTTTGGAAGTCTCAGTGGTGTTTTCCTTCTCTTCAATTACTATGTGGCAGATGGTGGTTGAAAAAAGTGATTGCTGAAAAAGAATAATTTCATCTTATGGCTTCCTCAATTGTCTTCGGAAACAAATCTCCCGGCACAGCATTTCGAACTGATCAGAAAATTACTGACTTTGAGGATCAGAAAAATACACAAAAGTTGACCACAATATGACCATAACCGTTATTTGGGTCTTTATTTTGTCTATCTACATAGGAGCACTTATTCGTCCTGTGATATTCAGTATGACATTTGCTGAAGGGTTATCGGGTTACTGGATTCAATTTTCACTCCTACATAATCATGTTGCTATGACACTGCAATCAACATTGTTTTCATCAAAGTCAAAATTCTTATTTAGAGAAGAAACAAATTTAAAAAAGGAAACACTCAATATCACTGAGTTCCTCGTTATTTGTTCTACATTAGTACACAGGATTTGCGTAGCTTTAACGATGAGCAGCTAATATTTAAGTGATTAAACCCACATGACTAAAACTCCCTGATTGTTAGCAGAATTTGAAATGGTACTCTTCAGCTTCTATATTTGGATCCAATAATAATAATAGTAATAATAATAATAATGGTGATAATAATCACTATATTGCAGAGAATAACTTTTAGTACAATTTGGAATTCTCAAATAATTTACTACTTGTATAATATTTTCAACAATAAACTACAGACATTCATCAACAACTGCTTACGCTGGCTCGCTACTGAAGATCAGATGGCCAGAAAGAATAAGCAACAAGGAGCTCTGGGATTGAACCAACCAAGAAGCTATCACCCAACAAATATGCAGGAGGAAGTGGAGATGGATTGGGCATGCACTGAGAAGGCCGACTGAGGACATCATGCGTCAGGCCAATTACTCGAGTGGAATCCCCATGGGAAGCGACGAGTTGGACGTCCGAGGGTGACATGGAGGAGGTCGTGCGAGGAGGAAATGAGAGCTTCTGGGCTGTCATGGAAGCAGGTTCAAAAGATCTCAGAGAACAGAATTCACTGGAGACGTGCTACTGAAGCCCTATTTTCCACTAGGAACCCAAGGGACTAATAATGATATTTTCAAACTAAATAACCATGGCAGTTAAATAATCTGAATAATAACAGTATGATAGGCAGTAATGCACAACAGACAGTAGTTTTTAGGCCATCATCTAGTTTATATGCTGTTGCGTATGATTTGGATAGAAAAGCCCATGCAAGTTTGGTAGTGGAGGTTCATTTATCCAGTATGAAAATTCGCTGTTCCAGCTACGTGTTCCTGCAATAGCTATATGATACACTGTTGTACTTTCAAGGATCAACTGCCGTCTATTGTAAAATTTTCTTGTAGCCGAGTTGTTAACCCATCTAGCAATAGGTTGAAGACATTTTAGGAATGCACGAGTACGTTTTACGAATTGTTGGCATTCGAACAGTTAAAACAAGTACGAAAAGGAGCAATTTGATTAGATATGTCCAATGAAATATTTTTGGTAGCTAAAACTTTAAGGAGGCCACCAAGATGAAGATCACAATGCATCAAGTTGTATGTATAAACGTAAAAGTCACCGGTGAAAACTTGCAGTTTTAATTAGTTTGCTGAAATTATAACTATGTGCATGAAATATACAACAGCGATGTGCTTGGAAATATCTATATATATATATATATATATATATATATATATATATATATATACCATCACCCCTGGCTGAATAAGCGCACAGTTGTCATTTTAAAAAGTCAAATATGATCAAGGCTTTCATAACGAAGAGCTCAAAATGATATAAGAAAAATGACTGTCTTTGGATATTTTCTGCATAGTTGTAGTAAGTAATAGAAAAATATCATGTCCACCGGTCGCTTTTGCAAAAACATAGGGGCAGTAAAATGATATTATAGCATCACTAACATAAAAAAGCCTCATCTATTCATCAAACTATCATTTAGTAGGCGAACAACCTGAGAAAATAAATTTTTGAAAGACAGCATAACTGACTTTATATCACTCAGGGATTAAAATGTTAACTACTGATCGCCTGGTACACGGATCATTCTCAACTGTCCCGCCATCCGTATTTTTAATTTATACTTAACAAGTAACGTAAATTTGTTTTTGTGGTTTATTTTTAACGCTAATCTTACACTGTCCTAGTACACAAGGAATTATTTCAGTGTTTTAATATACATAAACAAAAATTAAGTTTATGAAGATGATTTAATATCAACTTTAAATAAGTCCATTTTGAAAATGAACACTATTGTCAACCCGCGTTCTTGATGCATGAATTATGCACTATTGTCCCACAAAACCAAAAACTTGATATCTTCTAGAACAATAGTATACACTGCAAAACATCCAACTAGATATTTAATAAGAAAATTATGTAAATTTGAACACACTATGCTTCTCTAAATTTATATTCTACTTCTTGTTTAGCATGAAAATATTTACAGTATTTTTTTGAGAAATTTACTAAAAACTCACAATATATTCTGTAGTTTGTGGAATACTTTTTGTCTTCTCTGACTTCATTGTTTCTGGTTGTTTATCTTTAGCTTTCTTTTTACGCTTTTTTCGTTCGGGCTTCTCTGGATTGACACCTGCACTGGTAGACGATTCAGTTGTCGATGTAATTCGTTTACGAGTTCGTCTTCGGATCTTCTTAACTCCTTCTTTGTGCTTAGCTAACAAGAAATAACAAAAAAGTAATCATAATGACTTTAAAGTGTAAAAGCTCCGTAACTGTATAGCATACAAAGTTATGACTAATTGAATTCATTTTGACCTTATTTATACTTGGATGTTATGACTTCCAACTGTTAAATATTCATCATTGTTGGTCTCCGAAATTTATTATCTCAACAAGCATATTCTTAAAAATGATTTGTAGTGAATGACAACAATATATTGCATAGATTTTATTCGCAGAATAAGCACCTTTCATATAGTCTCAAAAGGTCAGAAAGTTACCATTCTTCTTTATTATGATTTTTAATACTTTATTTTTACTATAAGCCAATAACTATTGTATTTTAACATGATGGATATATATTTTCGAATATGATAAGGATCCAAATGTCGCGCGCACTATAATCATATCTCTTAGTAGCGATGATTATATACCATTCACAATAAACATGAAGATACTAATAACAGTTATATAAGAGTTGACACACTTACTTTCAAACTCAAATCATTTCTTAAAATAAACAAACCTAGTGATTAAAAAGACTTAAAAAGACTGAAATCACTACTAGTTTCGTTCGAGAGGAAAATATTTGCATTTTGGCATACGATCATTATGAAGTGACTTTGTGAATGGTTGAGGTTTAAATGAAAGGAGTTTCCATGTAATGAATTTTTTTAGTCGACTTAATTTCTCTTAAAAATAAATTTGTCGAAGTGCTTTATCAGTTCATTGAGTTTTAACTTCCTAGATTGTTGAATTGCATTACTATCTTCATGACATGAAGGAAAATCTGTTTTTTGCTCAGCCTCTTATCACCTTTCAGTAAATGTTCAAATGAAAAAGCAAATATCAAATTTTCAATTCTATTATCTACAGATTAAACCATTTACTCGTATCACATGTAAATTTTAAACAGATAAGATCACTTCCCGGCAATTAAACCAAGGGTGTATTAGAAAGTGTTCAATAGAATTCGGTCAACACCTAGGACTGGACATCATGAAATGGTTATTCTCCTTCTCTCTCTTTTTAATCCATAAAATGGGCAAGTCATAATAAAAAGTTTTAATGCTTTAAACTATGATATATTTTCACTTAAACGAAAATGAATTTAACTATAAAAGTCATATTTTTCTTGGTGGGTAGGAACAGAGTCCAGGATGTGAAAGGAATATTCTCAAAATTATTCATCAGTGTAATTCTATACCACGGAAGGATTACGCATGATTATATGAACTAATAACTTCCTATTTATTTGAATTTGTATGATTTACCTCAAAAACAAAAATTTATGAACTTATTCACAGACATAGCCATCCATTCCGTAAAACACTTCTGTTTCACACAATAGGAAAGTGTGATCAAAAGTATTGAGACAATACTTCGCATCACACAACGAACTAGCTTCATTTCTCACCTTTTAGTTAGTTATATACACTCTAAAGTTGAATAATAATCATAACAATAATAGCCAAAACAAAAGCAACTTTGGTTCAGGACTAAAAAATATACACCCGATTACGTAATAATGGTATGGTTAGAGGTGAAAATATTAGAGCATACTTCAAAAGTTAAGAATATGAATATATGATTAGGAAGATGATCCTGTAGTTACCTGTTACCGTCAAGTAATTTACCTAATCGAACTTGTCTGTTACATTAAAACTCGATACCTATTTATTTCCTAGGTCATAAATTCTCAGTTTTTCAATTGATGCAGTTTACTTGCAAATTTACCACTTTAAACTAAAAAGTGCAGTATGCTGGAGTATACAGAGATTGATTTTAGGCTTAAGCCACAAGGAAACTTGAGGAAGTCTTAAAATAATTTCACTACCGTGAAATATTTGTCCAAGAGTCTTTGTCATCGTGTCAACTATTTTTAGCGCAAGTTTTTGATTTCTGGTAGTATGAGTACGGTCCAAGCTTAGTTTTTTATAGTCAAACCTTTGAGCATTAGTTTGTCTTCCATAGTGCCGTTTTGAAAGAGAATGATGCATATATTGTAGGCGCTTCTTTAGATGTTTTTAGAGGCATTTTCCAACAAATTCCCTTAGGAAATTGTCTTTCTTTTGGGCAGAAAAATACTTCAGGACCAATACAAACATTACTATGACTAGTAAAGTCTAACGCATTCCATATACCTAAAAAATTCTCCCAAACATCTTGTGTAAAGCTAAGGAATCAACATCGAAAGTAGAAATATTAGATGCATTTAACAAGATCAACTGCTAGGACTATAACAAGCATTTGTTTGGTAAATCTAGATTGTCTGTTGCACAATTTATGTATCAAAATAAATAACAGCAGTAAGATTTCAGGAGATAAAGTTAAATATCTCATTACACATTGGCCAATATGGTCATACATTTGATCAAAAAGAAGCCGAAATCTCCAAATGTGCTACTACGGAAAAAAAAGTCAAATCCTTGGAAGCACCATGCTTAAACTAAGAAGCCATCAATAGTTTTTGAAAATTAAGGATACAGTATGAATAAGTTCATCAAATGAAATTTAAACTTTGATGACTGTTTAAGAGAATCACATCAAGCTGAAATAAAAAAACAACGAATATTAGCAGGGCTACAAAGTACAAGGCTCTCTACTAATCAGCCTTTAGAGCAAGTGATGATTCCTGTAGTACACCAAACACAAGAAACCACTTAAAATCATTTTAGAGACTTCAAAAGCCAGTCGACTTAGAACAAAAATATCTAGGCGGCCTGAAATCAAATGGTACTGGTCAGCCTCATAGAAGCAACTATAGCGTCTGAATAAAGAGAACTGCAACGGACCTAAATATATGATGATAATGACAAAAACATATTGATTGCATAAAAGGAGAAGAATCAAAGGTCAAATATAGGATGAGTAATACTGTTTCACTTTATGACATATCTAATGAAAAACTAAAATAGATTGAATTTACTACACTTAGCTGATCCTCATCAGTTGCGCACATCCAGAGCAATTTTAGTAACAAATGTTACTAAAATATTCAGGCGCTTTCAAGGTAATATAGTGAATGCTTTAGGAGATTGAAACGTCAACGGAAATGACATTTATGCATAAGATAAGGATACTTTCCAGTTGGTTTTAATTTCCATCGGATCTCATTTGATCCCATTATATTTCACTAGCATATTTCTTCCAGGCAGCACCTTCGCACCGAATTAAGTAAAGCACTTAAGTATTTTTGTACCATTTGGTTGCATACAGGTGATGAAAGCCAAGGAAATATGAGTTTATAACTTTCTGTTGCAAAAGATGTTCTTATTTTGTTCAAAATCAAAAGAATCTATTATAAGTTAGAGCCCGTGATTCTTGTATTAACCAAATTAGGTTTAAAAATGGACCAAACATGACCTCTATTTAGTACATTTGCCATAAAAGAAATTTCAGATATCTTCGGTGGTTGTATAGAGTGTTTAGAATTGAAGTATTATGATTCTAGTATTAATCGGAAGAAGTTAACTTCAGTTGTGAAAATATTCGCAAGGTCAGCTACACATGGGACAGTGAAATCTGTAATTCAGAATGTGGATAAACAGTTCCAATTCTCAAGAGGAGTGAAATCGGTCGAGGTTATAATGTCGTCTCCTGATTCGTGATGAAAAAATATTTGGCGTAAGTACAGGATAACCCGCTGAATGTTTTTGAATAATTTTATTTGTTTTATGATTTGATTTCTAACATGAAAGGACGATACGTTAAATTAAAAATCGAAAACATTACTTAGTATAACACAGCATCTATGGGGCTTCTTAACAAGCCAGAAATAGTGCAGACTTATGGAGAACACTTTAGGCGTTTTCGCAAGTGATAAATAAGTAAGTGGTTATTCCAAACTTAGCTGTTATTCAGTTTTTCTTGGCCATTAACTATCTCCTTAGCTGATGTTAATCTGTAACCGAAACTAACTTGAAATTTTGTGTGTTTAGATTTGAGCCTAAGACTCTTTTAGTAGTTAGGAAATGGAAGTATGCTGAATGGGAAAATGAGAGAGATAAAATCGAAATGTTTTAAACTCAGTATAAATAAAAGTACGAAGACAAATTCATGAATTTTCATGATCCTATGCCTAAGTGCTGGAAATCTGACGCTGACGAAACCCCACCGCAAAAAATGCTGAAGTTTTAACAAAGCATTATTAAAAGTAAAATACAGACTTTTCGGTTCAAGTGGGAATCCGTAAACTCAGTAAGTAGTATAGTATTTTCTTTTTATAGTGTCCAGAGAGGTTGATAAAATCTTCATAAGAATCCACACATGCCTAAAGCTTTTTTCAACCAATCGCTTCGCTTCAAAGTTTCGGAAAAAAACATGTGAACCAACGTGTAAGTATCAGGTTGGTTGAAGAGATGAAAAATCAATGGAATTTAAATCTAGTAGGCCTAGGAATAGCCTTGGACATTGTAAAACATATAAACCTTGTATTTTTACATATTCTGAACGTTGCTGTTGACGTTGTAAATGCACCTATTGTTCTATTACCGCCTTTTCTGTTTGCGGAGAAACTGTGTGACCATCAAGGGTGGAATATGAAGGCTCCATCAAGTTACTGTAAAGATGCAAAAAGTGGAGACTGGAGCTACATAAAATATTTAGTCATATATATTTTTGATGTTGTGTTCGAATGACTTCAAAGTTTATGAATTTTTGCTTAGAACCTAGAAAAGATTTCCTGAAACCGATAAATGGTAAGAGATGAGTATGAAAGTGATGATCTAGTGTTGCAACTTTTAGCTATTGGGATCAAATCTAACTACTCATAAACTCATGAAATGACTATAAGATCTCTGTGTATGTGAACTGACAAAGTGTTTTGCAGCAGACCAAAAGTCATATTTTCCATTGTTTTTCAAATGATAATCACCTGTAATGAAAACTACTTGTTTTTGGTAACTTAATTCCTGGACAAACTATGGAAATGCTTTATTCGGCCTTTACTGCTGTAAACATCCTAACAAATTAAGTATTGCTAGCATAAAATTT